ACGCCCCTGATTCATCTCGCCCGGCGCGGCAGGTGCTCTGATACCCGCCGCGCCCCTTCGCCGCCCACCTCCGACACCACCCCTCGCCGCCATCCAGCTGAACAATGAGCGCCAAGCGCCGTGACGAGCGCCAAGCTCGAGTTTATTGGAAACACTTAACGCCTCGTGGCGGCGGTGCGGGGCGCCTCCTATTGACACGCGCGCGCGCGCGCCGTATTTTCTTGGCGCTCACTTTCGTCCCCAGCGGCACGATTAGTCGAGAGGTGGGTAGAGAGGGAGTGCGCAGCCTTAGACAGAGGGAGACTACTTCCCTCCCGCTCGCACACGCCAGCCCGTGGTCTTGGCTACGCCACCGATAGCCGTTACGTTGGGTTGCGTTTGCCTTACGACGTTTGACGTCTGGCCGCCGGCCAGAGGGAACCAACAGGAACCCTCGGCGGCTCAATTGTACTCTCCGCACCGCCCCACCCCGCCTGCCCCGCCGCTGACGCTGTCGGGTGTGCCCGCCGCACCATTAACGCCCCCCTACCCTCAATGCTAAGTTAAGGGGGCATCCTAGTGTAGCGCACCTTAACTATAGGGGTTTACGTATAATTAACGACAAAACAAGTAGTCCTGCCTGAATCACGGACACATGGCTCTACCTGCATCCTGCATAGAGACTTTTTGTGCGCCAGAGTACATAGCTTTTGCCGCTGCATCGTGGTGGAGGATGCTGAACCCGAAGTGCAGCGCAGTACAGCGCAGTGCAGCGCGAGCCCGGTACGCCGCACTTCAAAGGGCCGTTGTTCACCTGCATTGTTTGCCTTGCGCCCCGCCGGCCCCGCCGGCCCCGCCGTGTGCGACAGGTGCACCGCACCGCCCTCCTGCACGCGTCATTCGTTTATAAGCGTCCCAGCCAGCGGCGGCGGCGGCGGCGAACCGTCACGTGGCGTCGTCGCGCACGTGCTTCAGGGCGGACAGAGCGTAGGGGAGGGGGTGGACGGGAAGGGGAGCGTGAACGCGGCGACGGGCAGCCGACTGCAGCGTCACCACCCGTTTTGACGGCCGTTGTGAGACACATTGCCTGCTTGCGCTCTCTCTCTCTCTCTCTCTCTCTCTCTCTCTCTCTCTCTCTCT